ACACATTCAGCAGGATTGAGTAGGAATTTATTGTGATTATCTTTGTTTAGCTTTGAATACTCAGACCTTGATATTAAGACTAAAGAGAAATTACATAGAACTGGTGTGGTTGAAAAAAAAAGTATGGCTCCTTCGAGTGATTTTGTTTTGTTTTGTTATTAATGCCATAGAGTTAAGCTTTACAAAGCATGCTTCATTGAATCTCATGCAAGCCTCCTAATACAGGGATAGGGGACTGTTTTTCTTTTGAGGACCACTGACCCACAAAGAAAAAAACTAATCAAGAGCTGTGTACTAAAAACAACTTTAGGCGCTTCCTTAGAAAACCATAAAGCATTCAATTCACTTGCTTTTAAAATTAGAACAGGAACTCTCAACAAGTACAACACATTTCTCAAAATCCTTTGATTTCATGTTATGTTAAAAGAGGTGGGTGGAGCCGAAGCCAGTTTGCTCAGTGGTAGAGCCTCGGTCTGCGGACTGAAAGGTCCCAGGTTTGATTCCAGTCAAGGGCATATACATTGGTTGCGGGTGCATCCCCGGTAGGGGGTGTGCAAGAGGCAGCTGGTTGATGTTTCTCTCTCATCGGCGTTTCTAGCTCTCTATCTCTCTCCCTTTCTCTCTGTTAAAAATCAATAAAATATATTTAAAAAAAAGAGAAGTGGGTGGAGTAAGGTAGGAAAGAGCAATAAAGGTAGAATAAAAGAGGGAAAACAGAAGAGCTTTAAGGGAGTAGAAGAGAGACATGAAGAGCTATAAGCAATGGGCATAGAAGCAGGGGATTGAGTTAGGGAAATATAGAAGACAAATGTTAGGTGTGGATCGTAACTCACTGTTCACTTAATCTATTGGGATAACTGGTTAATATTACCTGATTTTCTGTGGCTCTAATATTTAAGCCTTTCAAATAATAATTTTTATGGAAGCTTATGTATCAGAATCACCTACCTCTGATCAATGGCACAGTTTCCACTTCTTCATACTGAGCAGTAATTCAAAACGTATGACGAAGTGGAAAATTGGGACTCTGGTTTGCCACAAAACAAGAAAAGTTCTATTGGGATGGTACATACAAATTACCTGAAAGTTGAGGGGAATGTGCACTTTTGATGTTTCTCTTAAATTATTGTGTTTTCTTTGGATTATGAAATCCGCATTATTAACCGATTAACAGTTAATCTACACTATTGACCAGTCAATAATTAATCTGCATTATTAACCAGTTAAGAGTTAACCCCCACTACTAACTGGTCAATAATTAATCTTCATTATTAACCTGTTAACAGTTAATCCACACTATGAACTGGTCAATAATTAATTTGCATTAACTGGTAAACAGTTAATCCACAGTATTAACCAGTTAACAGTTAACCTGCATTTTTAACTGGTTAACAGTTAATATACATTATTAACCAGTTAAGAGTTAATCTACACTATTAACTGGTTAATAATTAATCCACATTATTAACCAGTCAATGATTAATAATGCAGATTTTATAATAAAAAAACATGATATTTTCAAGAGAAACATCAAAAGTGCTTTATTCATAGTAATGTCCATCGCTAGCTACACATTTCCCCCATCTTTCAAGTAATTTGTGGATACCGTCCCAATAGAACTTTTCTTGTTTTGAGGCAAACCATTCAGAGACCCAATTTTTTACTTCTTCATATGTTTTGAAGTGCTGCTCAGAAAGTGTGTGTGCCATCGATCAGAACAAATGTCAATCTGAAGGATCAATACAACAAAATAGCATACATATCAAATCATACATATGCCAACATAATAATGTGGATTGTTTGCAATAGATGGAGTTACACTTATGTTGATATACCAGTATATGCGATTTGATGTGTAACTCCATCTATTGAAAAAAACCCGCATATTAACCAGTATACCTAGTAGAAATAGAGGTGGAGTAAGTGGTGCATTGAAGGCTATATGAGCAAAAGTGGAATGTTGGAGTCATCATGTTTGCACCGAGGAGTAGACAACTTTGCCAACAGAAATATTAGCCAAGTATTTACCCTGTTGTTGTCCTTTACACAGGGCAAGCCTTTTGCCATTAGACAGATTTTTCCTGGAATGTTCTTCTCTCTAAAATGAAAGTGGGCTCTTTTATTTTTTATTAGCTATTGATAAAACAGCGATGTACTCCAATGTTCAGATATAAGCAAGTCTCCATAAGGTCCTGCTACGGTCCTTTGGTGGATAAGTGAAGGGAGGGGTTCATGGGCCCTGCTGGGCTCTTTATATGTGCTCGTGTAAATGGTGCTGTGTACTTTCAGCAGGTTACTAGTAAAACTTTTATTGTTGTTACCTGTTTTTGAAGATTGTCTCCTTAACGTAAAATTCCTGTGGATAAGTTTAAACCCTTCAATGTCTAGCACTTTCTTAAATGTAAAACATTATTCTTTCCTGCTGTCTCAGAATTTGCTGGCTTCAGGTCGTGTGTCTGTGCATGTATGCATTGGGGGTAGAAAAGGGGTGCTTTTCCTTGAACTTAGAAACTTATTTTTATAGAATCCAGTAAGTGGCTCTTCAGTTTATTATATGTGTGAACCCTGCTAAGACTAGGTGAACAGATTATTTTCCAAATTCTTGAATTGTTTTACCTTGGAAATCCAATGCACTTCACAACAGAATCTTTGCAGGGGCTTGAAAATCAGCCTGTGATGAACTTTAGCCTGTGATAACCTTAAAAAGTAGCTGCTCCCTTATTATAATTTATTTAAATAACCCTGTGTGTCTTAAGTCCTTATTCTGAGCATTCCAATGAATATTCTATATGGGGTGTGACTGTGATATGGATTATTTAGTACTGTTGCAGCAAACACTGTAACTAGTTGAGGTCCTTCTTATTATTTTATTTATTTAGATTGTATTGGGTGAAATCCTCAATCTTGAAACCAGGAGACAACTGGATATCTCTCTGTTAATTATATGTGCTAGTACCAAAGGCCTGCTGTGAACTCATTAAGCCATTGAAGGAGGGAATTTTGTTTTTGGTTGTAACGAAGATATTTCCTGAAAACAGCTTTAGCAACCTTTCTTCTTTCTTTTCCTTTTTTTAAAAATAGAGTTTATTATTATTATAGTTATTATTATTATTATTATTATTATTATTATTAATTGAGAGAGAGAGAGAGAGACAGAGAGAGAGAGACAGACCTGGGATCCAACTCACAACCTGGGTATGTGTCCTGACACCTTTTGGTGTGTGGTATGACACTCTAACCAATCAAGCCACATCAGCCAGGGCAACCCTTCTTCTTTCACTAATGAGAGCTAAGATATTCTAAAACTTCACAGCTCCTTGATTCTTCTACAAAATCTACCCTCCCTCTTTTCTTGTTTAAATTATCTGTGGACCAAGGGTTTCCAATCCTAGTACTAGTCAAATAAGTTGCCAGCTCAATTATATCCAAAGTAGTTTCACACACACCCCCACCCCACCTCCAACCCTGAGCCATTTTGGTATCTATGTTAGGCGAAGACTTACTTCCTCTAAGCACACATAGCCAATAAACATCAAAGGCCAGCTCATGGTCTAGTTCAATTCCCATGGTTATTAGTGTTGTTGGAAAGATTTGTGTTTTATTCTCCATGCCTTTATTTATTGTACATGCTTAGCATTGGCAGGCTGAAGTGTCTTCAGTGTACTCATTCCTGAGTTCTTGAGATCTTGATTCTTTTCAGGTTGCATATGTCTTACATGGAACATGGACAGCAATAGCAGAAAGAATAGTGACAGGGAATCCTTGTAAACATTTTTACTAGGGTATCTATACATCACTAAGTAATATTGGAGTGAATAAAGTATCTAATGGATTTATTTTCGAGTGGCACTGCATCTCTTGGTCATTATGAAGGAGAGTATGGCTTCTTCAAAGCACAATTTTGGTCCTGTGATAGGAAGAATAATGTGTGGGTGAACTCTGGCATCTATTTTTTTAAAAACCCACAATCCTCCAAACCCTTATGGCTAAACCACAAGCAAAACGCAGTTGGATTAGGGTAAGGGGAGATACTTTGTGAGTTAAGCTGCTATAGAGTGATCATGCTTTTGACATTTCTCTTGACCCTTAGGATTCCTTCACTACATAAAGATTACATTTATTGGAAACCATTAGTCTATACTGGAATGAGTGGCTACGCGGAATCATAAGGTCAATACAATGTTTAACATATGCACAGAAGTTGCTGGCTGAGAAAAATCTTAAAATTAAAGATCATTTAATATCACCCTTTGACTTATCATAGACTCAAATTATCCAGCATGCATTCGCTTTGTTTCTGCTTGGCTGGCAAATCCTGGAAATGCACTTATCCTGTTGCTTCCTCCAAGTCTAACTGTTGTTCATATATTTGTTCAGTTTTTGGTTGTTATCACATTTTATAAATGATTCTTCATTAATGGTACCCTCTCTTGGAGTCTAAATTCCCAAAGCTAGAAAAACTGTCTCATTTGTGTGATTTGAGAAATAGAATTAAAGAATTATAAAAGAGACTTGGGTTGATATTGAATAATACTCGGTTTATTGGCCACCCTGGTGTTCCTGTGATGTAGCAGACTTCCTGGTTGGAAAGTTCCTTAGGCTTTTGGAGATGGGTTTATTATTTTATTTTTCTGAGAAGGGAATACATATTTTTGCTTTTAAAAAATATATCTTTATCTCAAAGAGGAAGGAGGAAGGAGAGAGAGATAGAAACATCAACATAGAGAGAGAATAATTGATTGGCTGCCTCCTACTGGGGATTGAGGTCACAAACCAGGAATTGAATTGTGACCTCCTGGTTCATAGGCCAATGCTCAACCACACCAGCCAGGTTAAATATTTTTGTTTTAATGAAAGCTCTCATACATAAGATTCTTAGGCCTTAGCAGCAACCTCACAGATGGAAATGAAGCAGACTTTGTGTGCCTAAACTAAATTCTTCCCTCTTGAACCTGATGAACAATAATAGAAATTGAGTGTCTTATACTTTTATCTTTCAGGAGATCATTTGAAGATCTGTCCCCAGGGTTATACCTGCTGCTCTCAAGAGATGGAGGAGAAGTACAGCCTGCAAAGTAAAGATGAGTTCAAAAGTGTGGTCACCGAACAGTGCAATCATTTGCAAGCCGTCTTTGCTTCCCGCTATAAGAAGTTTGATGGTATGTATTGGAACTTGCGTCTAAGTGAGCATTCCCATTTGCTTTGTTCCAAAATTTGTTTTACATTTTTTATTCAAGTCACTTTTAAGAGGTGATATTTATGTTTGTACAATTGCTTTTCCAGAGCTCTTCTGTTCTCTCAGTGTTCAAGTTTTCTCTCAAGATGTTCCTTCTTGTTGGATCCTCGGGGCAAGTTAGCCCTATAGCTTTATTGCTAGAATCCTTCTGGATGCACTAAAATCTGTATGGTAGGCATTATGGAAATATAGTCGCAGGGAGCCAAAAATAGATTAAAGTCGTTTAATTTAAATGTTTTTATTTCTTTTCTTGGATGAACACAAGAATAGTGTTGTTGACGCACATCACTTAAATTTCCCCCCCCTAATAAAAAGCAGGCATCTATACAGATGCTGGAGTTCCAATTAAATTTCAAAATGGTTCCCCAAAGATAACTAGCATTCCTAGAAGCTCTGTAGAATGCAGAGAGGATCAACACTTAGTTCTTGAGTTTCCATGCAGCAGTAGCCCAGTGATAGCTAGTATACTATAGTCTTCGTTAAGCTGGTCTCCTTCCCTGGCCTCATTTTAGCGGTGCTTTGGCTTAGTCTATCCATGTAAAGCCACAACCAAACCCGTTTCAATCCTTTGTGCCAAACATGGATTTTCACGTGTACACTTGATTTAATAGTGAAGAAATAGTCAATATGAGCCTATTGAGAAGCGCTTCAATAATATCTGAAGCAATGTTACATACAAAGGATTTAAAAAACTAGAATATGGGGTCTAAAACACCTCAGGATCCTTTTCTTTGGTGCTGTGCACTCAGTGTGAAGATTGTTATGATGTAGTAGATTTAATTTTAATAGGAGTGACTTTCTTTGTGCTCATTTTAAAAGCCATTCTAATTACATAGTACCTTTGATGCATGCTTTTCTTGACATTATGTGTGGTGAAGAAGTACAAGGCAAGTTTTTAAGATTTGAAATGTCTTTGAGTATTTCTGCAAAGGGCTCGTTACCATGGTGAGAAGCTGGACTCTATTAGATTTGATATAGAAGGTAGTCCTCAGTTAAAGAACAAGTTGTGTTTCAAATACTGGCTTTGAGATCTGTTATTTGAAACTTATCACCTGTTTAATAAGTGTTAGTTGGGTTCCCAGGCTAGACCATGAAAGCATATTTTAGTTGTAATGTAGTTGAACTAATTTTTTCTATGTAGCATATCATATATTGTACCCATTTTTCCTAATACTTTGTATGCATACTGTATGCATAGTTATGCTTAGTCTTAATTTTATCTTCTCCTTTCCCAGGATGGATGGAAATAATTTTCCATACCTCCCAAAACACAGGATTGTAAAGTATATTTAATAATATGTTAGCATCACAAGAAGATCAGTGTTATTGGCAAAAGAAATTATTAGACTGTCTCTCTTGATCACTAAATTATTAGAATGATTATTAAAAAGAATAGTATACTCTTAACTATGACATTTCTCATTCAAAGACAGTAACCAAAGCGTTTTCTTTTACTTAAGGAGAAAACTTAGAAAGATAATCAGATGGTCATCTCAGAAAACCCGAGATGCTGATAATTAAAAAATACTACTTGGGTGATTAGGAAGGAAATTAGAAATTAAGATTGAATTTAGAAGGAAAAAAATCCCGCTCTTAAGAAATGGCTAGGCTGTTGGTAGCATGATGGGGTGCAGATAAAGCTATTTTCAGGTTCCAAGGCCACCTCCTCCAAGTTACCCCATTTCTTATTAGACATTAGTGTGGCTCTCACAGTGATCTCTCTTGTCTATAAGCCTGCTGTTTTAGCTTTCTTTCTCCTTCTCACTCCCCGCAGTTTTATAGTATTTCTTATATGATTTCAATGTGTAGTTTTTAAAAAGCCATCCAGTAAGTGTTAACATATGTTTTTGAAAAAATGACAGAAAAACAGTTTCTCTTGCCCTTTCCTTTCAGTCTTCACATTCAATAAATATGTTAACACTTTTTATCAGTTTCCAAACTGGTCACAAAATGATTATGAAATGCCAGTGTGTTTCTTCAGACTTTAATTTAAAACATAGCATTGAGAATAAAGATAGTAAGCATAGATTTTTTTGAAGTAGTTGCTGAAATGTGTTTGTTCTGGAGATCAGAACAGAGCTGGGTTATGTTGTAGAATTCTTCCAAGTAAGGTTTTCTAAGACAATTAAATACTTTTACGGTAAAACCTCAGCTGACTGGTATCCAACAAACCATAATCCTAAAGTGGGTTTTGCATTTATTGATTGATTGACTTTGAATCCTCAAGGCCTAAAGAAGATGGTGAGTAAAATGGCATAGGGGATGTCTTCATTTCAGAAATTCAAGGATAGGGTGATTTGGTTGAAGAATTGTCCAAGCCATTATAAAAGCCAAACCCTGGGTTATTGCTCTGAATGAAAAAAGGAAGTAGGGCAGAGGAACAAGATGGCAGCTGGAGAACCAGGATGGGGCACTGAGGAACCACAAAGAAGCCTGAAGACAAGTAATGAGAAAATAGCAAAAATACATGGAAACCTGAAGGGTCAAGTTACTTCAAAAGTTGTATTGCTATCTCCAAGATTACAGAATAAATACAAAGTGTTGAACCTGAGCCCATGCAGCTTCCTCTCTCATCAAAACTTTAGCCATGTTTATGAGATACCACTTTTTGTAAGGCAGGAACAATTAATTTTTATAAACTCGTCAATAAAATAAGGCTTGGAAACTTTTAGTAAATTAACTTTCTTTAACCAGAAATTATTCAATTTTTCCAGTTTTATATTATTCTGCATCCATGAGCTCCAGTCAGCTATGACATTTTGGAGCCAGATATCTCATATCCCTTATCTCTAAGGTCATTGTTTTTGTTCTACATATTTAAGTTTCTATTATTTGCATACCTAAAGAGACTATAATTCTATGAATAAATTAGTTTTTAAGTTGTAAATTGTGTGTGTGTGTGTGTGTGTGTGTGTGCCCATGTGCATACCCTCCCCCCCCACACACATGCATTTTCAGACCTGAATGAAGGACAGAAGAATGCTTCTTTCGGCAGCAACAAAATTCTCAGGTTTCCCATATTTTAAACCTGAGCTTAAAGATTCACCTCTTTTCTACACAGTAATCTTTTGATCCACATTTTGGCTTAGATGTTCAATACCAGAAATTTACCATCCTAGACTACCATCCATAGAGCCTAAAAATTGTGGTGCCAGAGCTAGCTGCTCCCCCTCTTGGCCAGCACTGGAATTTTGTAATTTATTTTTTGAAGTAGAACTGCTAATTAACATAGCTGAATCAGTTGTCTCATGAATATGCTAATCAGATACTCAGTTCAGGAGTCTTTGAAAGAATTGCTTGGCAAAGGGAATAGAAATAATAGAAGTAGGGCATAATTCTTTGTTTGGGGACTGCAATGTAAGGCCCACCCAAAATGTCGCATTTTGTGAGAGACCTGTTTTTAAAAGAGGCATAATTATATAACAACTACAAAGATATATTATTGCTTAACAACCCCCCAATCAAATTGTTTACTAGATATTTTGCATCTTAAAATAAAACTTAAGGAAGCTGTCAGATGCTAGTCCGTTGGGAAAACTTTGTCATTTTAGAAGCCAAATGTAGCCACTTTGGTCTGGAGGCAGAGCACACTGAATTGTCAGCCTGGTTCTGCTATAAACCCACAGTGAACTGAGGCAATTAACTGGTCTCAGTTTTCCCATCCATAAAATGAGGGGGTTGAGCTAGATGCTCTCTAAAGACCCTTTCAATTCTAAAAAATTCTGTGAGTCTTCTGAACATGTGACTACACCAGCTGCTCTGGTGAAAGGTCTTACAAAATGTTAATTAGCCGTCTGCATGGTACTCTCTATTTTCCTCCTATCATTTCTGAACTCTCCGCCACTTTCACCAGGTCTTTGAAAACCCTCCTGGGAGCCTGAAGCTTGTTAACTTGCATAATAGTAGAAATTTTCTGAATTAGCTTACAATGCACATAAAAGAAATAATTGTCCGTTCCATCTATCTGCATGGGCCAAGTGTAAATCAGAGTGGCCACCCTTTTCTTAAAGCCCCCTTGTTTTCTCTGATTTCACAAAGACAGAACATGAAGCGCTCTTCAGATTTAGCCAAATCTATGTTTTAATCACGGACTAAAAATTTTCCATAGTTCATAATGGCCATTACTTCATTAGGCCACTAGGAAAACCAGTGTGGAGGCTCAGTGAGTGGAAGGCATTAGAATTCACATGCCCATGAAAGTAATGATATCACTGGGAGCGAGCTGGCCACTCACCTTAAAAGACAAATATATCCAACTAAGTTTTATGGCCATTAGCTAAACTGAAATTTGTGGAATTTTTATGACCCCTGATCTTAACTATTTTTTACCAACATGGTTTTATTATTGTCCTTTGCACGGCCATACTGACTTGCTAAGACCTCCTGGGAGATTTTCACATTAAAAAAAATGTTGTAAAATAAATGTGTCATAGAAATGTACAGCACACAAAACAAAGGATTGGTTTTTAATCCTCACTTCAGATTGTATTCATTAAAACACCCCTTTAAAATGTGTTGCTTTTTAAAAAAAAACTTCTGCTGTAGTGCAGCAGACAACATTTCCCAGGATGAGTAGCTCAGAAAGTACAGAAAAAGATAGAAGGCCTCTGGCCTTCCAGCAAATGCAATGTTCTTTCCAGATCATGCTAATGTTCTTTGATTTCATTGGAAAGCACTACTACTTTTTCCTTTACAATTCTATTTTCTTTTCCTTCCATGTGAAGGAGACTCAAATGCTGGATATTTTTGCTGATTCTTTTTATAATCTCCCTGAAAGTTGATGAGAATGAGCCAATGCCAGTTTACTGTAATCAAATCAAGAGCCCAGACAAAACACGCATATTTCTGTATTGACAAAGGTTTCTGCCTTTTGAGTTATCTGAAGTGTGACCAATTGTGGCTCTAGCATTGGCTATTTTATCG